ATTAAAGTCTGGATGTCATAAAACGAAATATAACCAAGTTTTACGTCAAATGTCCTCAAAGTACCAAAGTTAACGCAAGAAGTTTGTTAACCGTTACAGGTAAAGTGGTCTTTCTGAGCAATGTACAACAAAAGTTAATTAAGATAAAATGTTTGCTATCTTAAATTATAGCGATATGCCGAATTTTATTAATTTAGGATGTAAAAGCAAAATGTGCAGATTTTTAAATCATAAGATTAACAAAACATTTTCGATCTAAACTAAATTAACATAAAAGCTTATTCAATGATATTTGAAAGAAAAGAAGAGTTTTACCCGAAAGTTTCTAGTGTTAGTTCTAGTTTTAGTTCTAATCTTAGTTTAATTCACACCGGCCGTGAAAGCCTTCGTACTTATAATTTCGATATTTTGTGAGGATGCTTCACTGGGGATGTTCTCCCTGTTTGCGTCCCAAATTGTAATAAATAAAAAAAATAAAATAAAAAATATCGTCTCTTCGACAGAAGTTCAGTAAATAATGGCTATAACGCAGTCCGCAATGAGCTCGAATCGTGGCTAGAGTCTATAATAGCCGAAGTGCGATCACCGTCAGATCGCACTCACGGGTCTCGAGCTAAACGGAATCGCTATAGGGGAAAGGTCTACGGTCGAGCTTACCTTTACAAGGTAGTACAATCAATGTACAAGCGTAATCGACGGCAGCTGGCAGAACATATATTAGATGATAAGCAATTATCAGATAATGACATCTATCCGACCGTAGACAGTGTCACAAATAGTTTTAGAAGGCTATTCAGCGCCCCATCCCCTTACGACGATAGCGAGATTCACGATTATACGCAAGAACACCTTTGGGAGCTCGAACCCGTGACTGAGCAAGATATCGCTCATGCGATTCGAGCCACCAAACCTTCCGCCCCCGGTCCTGATGCCATTAAGCACTCCGACCTCGGTAAAGTCAAGGTCTGCAGATACGTTCTCCTGTATAACATCATGCTTGTATTCGGCATAGTACCGAGACAGCTACAGGAGAACAGGACAATATTAGTTCCTAAGGGGGGTGACCGTCTTGATGTTAACAACTGGCGCCCGATTACCATTGCGTCGCACATCCTCCGTCTTTTCAACCGCCTATTGGTTCGGCGCTTGGCGCGTCTGCCCTTCCATCCTCATCAACGAGGATATATGAAAGTAGACGGGGTGCTTATTAACTCGCTCACATTAGATACGGCGATTAAAAACCGTAGGCGAGGTGCGAGACCGTATAACATACTATCCTTGGACCTTAAAAAGGCATTCCATTCTGTCTCGCACAAATCTATCTATCGAGCATTCCGCCGCTTTAGGGTAGACGAAAGAACAACACGCCTCATAAAAGCGCAATACGAGGGCTCCTTCACACGCGTGCAGGTGGGCATGGCCATCACGCCAAAAATCGATATTAACCGCGGTGTGAAACAAGGAGACCCTCTCTCACCTATATTTTTCAACATGGTGTTAGACGAGCTATTCCACAAGTTGGAAAATAGGCAGGACGGGGGATTG